TTAGGGCGGGACAATGTCACCTGTAGGTGGGAGGGGGTGGGGGGTGTCGTGAGAGGGTGTAACCCCACCAAACCTAATTTCGATGGCTCCTAGGAACGAAGGCCGATGTTACGCGCTCCCTGGTAGAAGGCACGATGTCCCGCGCTGCCTGGTAGAAAGACCGATGTCAAGCGCTGTCTAAAACGGCCATGTTTGACAAGTTATATCTCCTAAACCGTTAGAGTTAGGTCGGTACAGTAAGCGAGCCGATTGTAGATCTAAGTTGGAACTAAAATCGGCTCGCTTACTGTATATGTATATTTTGAAAAAGACTTAACTGTCAACACCCATTTTGCCTTCATTAAAAGTTTCCTAACTTCATAAATCTCTCTTATCGAATGAGAAATTATACACGAATAATACATAAAGTCAATAAGGTCATCACACCAAGGGCAGATTCTAGTAGTCCGGAGGTTAGTGGAACCCACCTTGCAAAATGTGATACCGGAATGCCACTTGGCACACTTGTTGTACTAACCCTAAGGATCATTTTAAGAGGTGGAGCCCAGGTGGACCCCCCTGCAGAGCGGCGGTACACGCGTTTGCCTATTTTCCAGGGGCAGAATGGAAAATCATTCGAAATAGACCTTATCTGACTGGCTATAGACCTTATCGGACTGGCTATCAACTTGAGTTTTGGTACAGGACCACTTCTTTGGATGCCCTACGTGATTTTACTCTGGTCAGTGCCGTAGCTATGCTTCAAACGGGAATTGCCTACCTCCCAGGAGCAAAATACCGTTTTCGCGAATATTAAGTTCTTGACGTCCATTAATCGGTGCATGCAAACTCCTGGGTAATCGATTGAGTATAAAAACACATTTCATCACTGCATGCGTTTAGAATGTGGACGTGGAAGAGCCCCGAACGCGCATTGAGGGTAGGACATTGGTACACGCAGTCCAATAGCTTACATGCAGATAGAAATATATGGTAGGAATATCCACGGGTCCCGCCGTATGTGAGCTACCGTAGAACGGGGTAATATGAGGCATGAAGAAAAATCGAGACAAAGCGCACTTTTTTCGGTTTCTGTCGTGTTGCTATCTAGCGGTTGTTCAGAAGTCCACCGTGAATTTTTTTTCGTGATCTAGGAGGCCGTGGCAACTCACGGGAAACGCACGAAGGCTATGAGAGACTCGCCAGGGTTATTTAGAACCAAAGGAAAAACCTCTAAATTCTAACAAGTTTTATAAAGTTAGTAAAAACCTCCCCAGAAACCACGGTTAGAACTCGGGTTCTCGTCCGAACGAGGTTTAAATCTGTAGGCAATTATGTCAATATAATCAGGACAAAATTTGGTTCCGTTATGTCTACTCCCGGGCTGCATGTTCCAGATGGAATACAATTTTGTTATCTTGCAGGGAAAACAGAGACACCTGTTTTCGCTTGAAACATGAGGCCAAACATACTCCACTGTTAATGATTTCAAGTAATAATGATTTTAACACGAATTTGTTTTACTATCTAACCGGCATCTATGCTCTTCGTTTAGTTTTTTCATGTGACAGGCACAACTCATGACTTTTCATACATTTTTCAGCTCTCTTTAGTAACACCCATTTTTCTCCCCTCCAGATTTTATATCGTCTCCATTAAAGTTTCCAATCATCTTTAAAATGAGTGAAAAGAACTTAAAAAGCTCCAAACCCACCTAAATGAGTTATTTCTCCATACTTCTTTAACACTTTTTTCTTATGCCTCATATTACCCCACATTGCAGGGAAATATGGGACGGCATTCCGAGGGTTATTGAAAGGTCCCTGCTGCACCTTAAAATCTGAAATTTGGTGGGAGGGTAGCCAAAGGGCCAATGAACAAGTGATGAACATCTCAGTACCTCAAATTGAAATTGAAAGGGGAAAATTCACAAAAAAAAAATCGAAATTTGTCTCATATTACCCCGTTCTACGGTACTTGACGAAAGGGCAGCCTCTTAGCCTCTTTCGCAACTCGCAACAATTCTCTCGTGCACGACGCCCCCTTTTTTCATGGAGGGGGGGGGGCGCTCTATGCTGTCGCCCCTACTTTGACGCAGCCGCCCGATACATACGACGCGTCGCTTGCTAGTGCAGCGCGTCTCAATACTAGAAGTGAAAATACGTACCTTCGATGTGCGAAGAACTGAGATCATTGTGTGTCGGAGCAGTGCGCCGGAAAGGAAGAAAATGGTGAATCTATTTATAGTTTTCTACCTGGTAACACACTCGTAGTAATGTTACGCCTTCTTTTAGCATAAACTGAAAATGTATCATTCCATGTGTCATTCGAAAACCCGGCGTGACTTTTCGGGCACGACGGGTTTTGCCATGTATTTGCCCATGAAACGCCTCGTTACTTTTTCTTATGTAATAGGGTATTTCGTAGAAGAGCTGGGGCGGGACACGCGAGCGGAAGAACCGCCCATCTTCAGCGCGACGAAACAAACCCGCGTACCGCGCGGCCGCTGTTTCAAACCCGCTTACCTCCCGCCGGCCGATTCAAAACCGCTTACCTCCGCCGGCCCGTTTCAAACCCGCTTACCTCTCCCAGGCCGAGGCGGCGCGAACGCGGGTTTGAAACGGGCCGGCGGAGGTAAGCGGTTTTGAATTGGCCGGCGGGAGGTAAGCGGGTTTGAAACGGCGGCCGCGCGGTACGCGGGTTTGTTTCGTCGCGCTGAAGATGGGCGGTTCTTCCGCTCGCGTGTCGCGGGATTCTTACTAATGCGTTGCAGGAAAAGCACTATAGAACGGCCTCAAGTAATAGGATTTCTACTAAAAAGTGTGGCAAAAAACCAATCACGAGTATAGGAAATTAAATTCCTATACTCGTTTCGGATTTTCACTACACCGGATTGGCAAAAGAACGAAAAGCATAGGAATTTTCCAAATCACGTGTAGAATTGTCGTTTCCCATACCATACGACGGTGTGGTAGAAAAGCCATTATTTTTCAGAGTGTATGTATCGAGTGGTTGCGTCAAAGTAGGGGCGACAGCATAGAGCGCCCCCCCCCCCTTTCCATGAAAAAAGGGGGCGTCGTGCACGAGAGAATTGTTGCGAGTTGCGAAAGAGGCTGCCCATACGTCAAGTAGGTCACATACGGCGGCACCCGTGGATATTCCTATCATATATTTCTATCTGCATGTAAGCTATTGGACTGCGTGTACCAATGTCGTACCAGCAATGCGCGTTCGGGGCTCTTCCACGTCCACATTCTAAACGCATGCAGTGATGATATGTGTTTTTATACTCAATCGATTGCCCAGGAGTTAGCATCCACCGATTATGGACGTCAAGAACTTCGTGAAGAACTTAATATTCGCGAAAACGGTATTTTGCTCCTGGGAGGTAGGCAATTCCCGTTTGAAGCATAGCTACGTCACTGACCAGAGTAAAATCACGTAGAGCATCCAAAGAAGTGGTCCTGTACCAAAACTCAAGTTGATAGCCAGTCAGATAAGGTCTATAGCCAGTCAGATAAGGTCTATTTCGAATGATTTTCCATTCTGCCCCTGGAAAATAGGCAAACGCGTGTACCGCCGCTCTGCAGGGGGGTCCACCTGGGCTCCACCTCTTAAAATGATCCTTAGGGTTAGTACAACAAGTGTGCCAAGTGGCATTCCGGTATCACATTTTGCAAGGTGGGTCCCGGTATGCGCCGCTAACGTCCGGACTATAGCCGATTATATTTTAAAGATACAAAGACGAAACGGTACAGACAGGCACAAACAAATGCAGAAATGCTACAAGTGCTTTACAACCAATTTCCAAAGGAGAGAATGATTTTAAAATGTTACAAATGTCGGGGTTTTTAAAAATTACCGTACAACACATCATGTTTTCAGGAATTACACATTTCAGGAGGTATTCAAAAACAGCTGTAGAAGAAATGGCGCCTGTACCAGGTGGGTCACGGACCCCGTGTGAAATGGTTACTATGCAACCCGCTTGGAGCCCTGCATCCGGGCTTGCCTATGCGGCAGTCGGCGGGCGCACGGCAGAGCTAGGGTGGCCACCCGTCAAGTCCCGTTACGTTCAACCTGAGCGAGACCCCCGCGGTCACAGCGACGACCACGGCGGACTCCCGCGGACTCTCGCGGCCGTCGCGAGGGCCCCCCGCGGACTCTCGCGGCCGTCGCGAGGGCCCCACGCGGACTCTCGCGGCCGTCGCGAGGGCGCCCCGCGGACTCTCGCGGCCGTCGCGAGGGCACTCCGCGGACACAGCGACGACCACGGCGGGCCCCACGCGGACTCCCGCGGACTCTCGCGGCCGTCGCGAGGGCCCCCCGCGGACTCTCGCGGCCGTCGCGAGGGCCCCACGCGGACTCCCGCGGACTCATGCGGCCGTCGCGAGGGCCCCCGCGGACTCTCGCGGCCGTCGCGAGGGCCCCACGCGGACTCTCGCGGCCGTCGCGAGGGCCCCCCGCGGACTCTCGCGGCCGTCGCGAGGGCCCCACGCGGACTCCCGCGGACTCTCGCGGCCGTCGCGAGGGCACTCCGCGGACACAGCGACGACCACGGCGGGCCCCACGCGGACTCCCGCGGACTCTCGCGGCCGTCGCGAGGGCCCCCCGCGGACTCATGCGGCCGTCGCGAGGGCCCCCACGGACTCTCGCGGCCGTCGCGAGGGCCCCACGCGGACTCTCGCGGCCGTCGCGAGGGCGCCCCGCGGACTCTCGCGGCCGTCGCGAGAGCCCCACGCGGACTCCCGCGGACTCTCGCGGCCGTCGCGAGGGCGCCCCGCGGACTCTCGCGGCCGTCGCGAGGGCACTCCGCGGACACAGCGACGACCACGGCGGGCCCCACGCGGCTGTCGCGAGGGCGTAGCGCGGACTTCGCGGACCGCGGGAGGTCTACCGAGGACTTTGCAAGGGCGGACTGCTTGAAGCACGCGCACCTGCTGGTCATGTCTGCGGACAGATATCTGCACCCGCCACCTTCCTCTCTATCTCACGTCAGTTGCACGTCGAGCGGGCTGTGACTCTGAGCCGGTCGCGTCAGGCATCCACGGGTCTGTTTGCAGACGATGCGCTTCGAAAACAATCCGCCGCCAGCGCCGCCAGTGCCGCCAGCGCCACCCGTCTGCGTTCAGAGTGTGCCAGCCTAGCCACCGGTGTCAGTGTAGCGCAGTGCGGTAGTCGGTGCTGGACCAAGCCTGTGTTGTGTGCGGTTTGACAAGTGGCATGTTGCGGTTCACGAACAACGAGAGAATGGATATTCTCACTGTTTACCGGGAATCAGGAAACCGTATTGCTCCTGCACAAAGGCTGTATCGACAACGGTACCCGGGAAGAATTGTGCCATCGGCAGGTGTGTTCCGTCGTGTCGAAGTGAACCTCCAAGTTCATGGGCAGTTCGTGGCCCCGAGGGCAGTCCATCGGCCCGTAGGGGGCGACCCAGCACTCCACGCTATCGTCAGGCAGCATATTGATCAGAACCCTCATGCAGGTAAGAGAACCGATTCATTGTTTTGTTTTGATTGGTGCGGCCTCGTGGTGGCAGGCGGCACAGTCGGGCCGGCCGGTGGTCGGGCTAGCTGACCGGCTGCTGCGTGGCGTGTTCTTCTCGTCCCGCTCGCTGGGCATAGCGGCGTGATGCGTGCCGCGTCGCGGTGAGCACACCGTTGCGGTGCGCCGCGGCGTGTCGCGGTTAGCGGTGTGTCGTGTCTCGCGGCGTGGCGGCGCGTCTCGCGGCGCGTCTCGCGGCGCGTCTCGCGGCGCGTCTCGCGGCGCGTCCCCGCGGCGCGTCTCGCGGCGCGTCTCGCGGCGCGTCTCGCGGCGCGTCTCGCGGCGCGTCTCGCGGCGCGTCTCGCGGCGCGTCTCGCGGCGCGTCTCGCGGCGCGTCTCGCGGCGCGTCTCGCGGCGCGTCTCGCGGCGTCTCGCGGCGCGTCTCGCGGCGCGTCTCGCGGCGCGTCTCGCGGCGCGTCTCGCGGCGCGTCTCGCGGCGCGTCTCGGGGCGCGTCTCGCGGCGCGTCTCGCGGCGCGTCTCGCGGCGCGTCTCGCGGCGCGTCTCGCGGCGCGTCTCGCGGCGCGTCTCGCGGCGCGTCTCGCGGCGCGTCTCGCGGCGCGTCTCGCGGCGCGTCTCGCGGCGCGTCTCGCGGCGCGTCTCGCGGCGCGTCTCGCGGCGCGTCTCGCGGCGCGTCCCCGCGGCGCGTCTCGCGGCGCGTCTCGCGGCGCGTCTCGCGGCGCGTCCCCGCGGCGCGTCTCTCGCGGCGCGTCTCTCGCGGCGCGTCTCTCGCGCGCGTCTCTCGCGGCGCGTCTCTCGCGGCGCGTCTCTCGCGGCGCGTCTCTCGCGGCGCGTCTCTCGCGGCGCGTCTCTCGCGGCGCGTCTCTCGCGGCGCGTCTCTCGCGGCGCGTCTCTCGCGGCGCGTCTCTCGCGGCGCGTCTCTCGCGGCGCGTCTCTCGCGGCGCGTCTCTCGCGGCGCGTCTCTCGCGGCGCGTCTCTCGCGGCGCGTCTCTCGCGGCGCGTCTCTCGCGGCGCGTCTCTCGCGGCGCGTCTCTCGCGGCGCGTCTCTCGCGGCGCGTCTCTCGCGGCGCGTCTCTCGCGGCGCGTCTCTCGCGGCGCGTCTCTCGCGGCGCGTCTCTCGCGGCGCGTCTCTCGCGGCGCGTCTCTCGCGGCGCGTCTCTCGCGGCGCGTCTCTCGCGGCGCGTCTCTCGCGGCGCGTCTCTCGCGGCGCGTCTCTCGCGGCGCGTCTCTCGCGGCGCGTCTCTCGCGGCGCGTCTCTCGCGGCGCGTCTCTCGCGGCGCGTCTCTCGCGGCGCGTCTCTCGCGGCGCGTCTCTCGCGGCGCGTCTCTCGCGGCGCGTCTCTCGCGGCGCGTCTCTCGCGGCGCGTCTCTCGCGGCGCGTCTCTCGCGGCGCGTCTCTCGCGGCGCGTCTCTCGCGGCGCGTCTCTCGCGGCGCGTCTCTCGCGGCGCGTCTCTCGCGGCGCGTCTCTCGCGGCGCGTCTCTCGCGGCGCGTCTCTCGCGGCGCGTCTCTCGCGGCGCGTCTCTCGCGGCGCGTCTCTCGCGGCGCGTCTCTCGCGGCGCGTCTCTCGCGGCGCGTCTCTCGCGGCGCGTCTCTCGCGGCGCGTCTCTCGCGGCGCGTCTCTCGCGGCGCGTCTCTCGCGGCGCGTCTCTCGCGGCGCGTCTCTCGCGGCGCGTCTCTCGCGGCGCGTCTCTCGCGGCGCGTCTCTCGCGGCGCGTCTCTCGCGGCGCGTCTCTCCGCGCGCGTCTCTCGCGGCGCGTCTCTCGCGGCGCGTCTCTCGCGGCGCGTCTCTCGCGGCGCGTCTCTCGCGGCGCGTCTCTCGCGGCGCGTCTCTCGCGGCGCGTCTCTCGCGGCGCGTCTCTGCGGCGCGTCTCTCGCGGCGCGTCTCTCGCGGCGCGTCTCTCGCGGCGCGTCTCTCGCGGCGCGTCTCTCGCGGCGCGTCTCTCGCGGCGCGTCTCTCGCGGCGCGTCTCTCGCGGCGCGCTCTCGCGGCGCGTCTCCGGGGCCCCCGCGCCTCTCGCGGCGCGTCTCGCGGCGCGTCTCGCGGCGCGTCTCGCGGCGCGTCTCGCGGCGCGTCTCGCGGCCTCGCGGCGCGTCTCGCGGCGCGTCTCGCGGCGCGTCTCGCGGCGCGTCTCGCGGCGCGTCACGGGGCGTGGCGGCGCGACACAGGGCGGGCCGTATTTTTTCTTGTTTTTATTGTTTTTTTTTTCTTTTATAGGTCAGAGGGGTATTGGCCGAGCTGTGGGTATCAGTCATCGAACAGCTGGGCGCATTTTGAAGACCCTTCATCTGCATCCCTTCAAAGTGCACCTCAACCAAGAGCTCCATGGAAATGACTTTGCCAACAGAATAGAGTTCTGCCACTGGATGCAGGGTCGCCTAGCTGTGAGACCTGATTTTCAAGAAGAAATCCTCTGGACTGACGAATCCTGTTTCACCAGTGAGGGTGAGGTGAACAGGCACAACTGCCACTTTTATGCTGTTGAGAATCCTCATTGGGTGAGGCCGGACCACGTTCAAGGAGGGTAAGAATTCTGAAAATTCTGTCTTCCAAAATGTCTCCTGAGTAACCATTTGTTTTCAAAATAATACCACTCCGCTTTTGCAGGTGGAGTATCAACTGCTGGGCCGGCATCCTGGGTAGGCGGCTGATAGGCCCCTATTTTTTTGACGGGCCACCCCTGAATGGGCCCCGTTATTTGCAGTTTCTGCAACAAAGTCTCGTTGGTCTTCTTCACGAGGCTGAGGTGCCCCTCAACGCAGTGGCTAACCACTGGCTTATGCAGGACGGGGCTCCTCCCCACTGGGCTCGTGCAGTTCGAGCGCACCTCAACGAAGTAAGATCCCGCCCTCATTTTTCCTATTGTCACACACGCAGTTCATAGACCATTGTCACTTACCAATTTTATCACAGGTCTACCCTGATCGCTGGATTGGACGTGGTGGGCCAGTGGCGTGGCCAGCTAGGTCCCCTGACCTAACCCCTCTTGACTTCTTCTTGTGGGGTTACGTCAAGGCACGCGTCTACGACACAAGACCAGAGAATCGGGACGAGCTGAAGGCCCGCATCGAAGCAGTCTTCGCCACTGTCGACGAAGACATGCTAGGTAGGGTGCACCAATGCGGCATGCGTCGGTACGCCCAGTGCATCGAAAGAGGTGGACAAACTTTTGAACACATCTTCTATGAATGAGAATTCAATTTCTTGCTTCATTTTCGGGAAAATGATATTGCTATGAAATGTTTTTGATTCTAGTTTGATTTACTGGAAAATTCTGTTTTGTTATTAAATTAGTGTGACATTTTGAGTCAGAATAAAATTCTGTTACCATCAGTTTCTTTTTCTTTTTATCCTCTCTAAGCAGGGATCTCAAAAAAAGGCTGGAAACCAGTGAGGGTGGGGTGAACAGGCACAACAGTCACTCAGTGGTAGCGGCGGGGTCCGCGGAGGCCTCACGGCGGCCGCGAGAGTCCGCGTGGGGCCCTCGCGACGGCCGCGAGAGTCCGCGGGAGTCCGCGTGGGGCCCTCGCGTCGGTCGCGAGAGTCCGCGTGGGGCCCTCGCGTCGGTCGCGAGAGTCCGCGAGAGTCCGCGTGGGGCCCTCGCGACGGCCGCGAGAGTCCGCGGGGGCCCTCGCGACGGCCGCGAGAGTCCGCGAGAGTCCGCGTGGGGCCCTCGCGACGGCCGCGAGAGTCCGCGAGAGTCCGCGTGGGGCCCTCGCGACGGCCGCGAGAGTCCGCGGGGGCCCTCGCGACGGCCGCGAGAGTCCGCGGGAGTCCGCGTGGGGCCCTCGCGACGGCCGCGAGAGTCCGCGGGAGTCCGCGTGGGGCCCGCCGTGGTCGTCGCTGTGTCCGCGTGGGGCCCTCGCGACGGCCGCGAGAGTCCGCGGGAGTCCGCGTGGGGCCCTCGCGACGGCCGCGAGAGTCCGCGGGAGTCCGCGTGGGGCCCGCCGTGGTCGTCGCTGTGTCCGCGGAGTGCCCTCGCGACGGCCGCGAGAGTCCGCGGGGCGCCCTCGCGACGGCCGCGAGAGTCCGCGTGGGGCCCTCGCGACGGCCGCGAGAGTCCGCGGGGGCCCTCGCGACGGCCGCGAGAGTCCGCGGGAGTCCGCGTGGGGCCCTCCCGACGGCCGCGAGAGTCCGCGGGAGTCCGCGTGGGGCCCACCGTGGTCGTCGCTGTGTCCGCGGAGTGCCCTCGCGACGGCCGCGAGAGTCCGCGGGGCGCCCTCGCGACGGCCGCGAGAGTCCGCGTGGGGCCCTCGCGACGGCCGCGAGAGTCCGCGGGGGCCCTCGCGACGGCCGCGAGAGTCCGCGGGAGTCCGCGTGGGGCCCTCGCGACGGCCGCGAGAGTCCGCGGGAGTCCGCGTGGGGCCCACCGTGGTCGTCGCTGTGTCCGCGGAGTGCCCTCGCGACGGCCGCGAGAGTCCGCGGGGCGCCCTCGCGACGGCCGCGAGAGTCCGCGTGGGGCCCTCGCGACGGCCGCGAGAGTCCGCGGGAGTCCGCGTGGGGCCCTCGCGACGGCCGCGAGAGTCCGCGGGAGTCCGCGTGGGGCTCTCGCGACGGCCGCGAGAGTCCGCGGGGCGCCCTCGCGACGGCCGCGAGAGTCCGCGTGGGGCCCTCGCGACGGCCGCGAGAGTCCGCGGGGGGCCCTCGCGACGGCCGCGAGAGTCCGCGGGAGTCCGCCGTGGTCGTCGCTGTGACCGCGGGGGGCTCGCTCAGGTTGAACGTAACGGGACTTGACGGGTGGCCACCCTAGCTCTGCCGTGCGCCCGCCGACTGCCGCATAGGCAAGCCCGGATGCAGGGCTCCAAGCGGGTTGCATAGTAACCATTTCACACGGGGTCCGTGACCCACCTGGTACGTACCATTCTGACCCGATACGACTCATATTGGGTACAGATAAGCCTCAAAGGGAGGACAGATATATTTTGCACGAATCTACACTACACAAGAAAACACATTATAAGCAAGATTTGAAGATGCCGCTAGAAGGCAAAAGAACTTAACTGTCAACACCTATTCTGCCTTAATTTCAAGTTTCTTAACTACATAAATCAGTCTTATGGAATGAGAAATTATCAAGAACCTATAAAGCCCCAATCCGACTGACTCACTGACTCATCGAAATGTTTGGGGTGAAGGAGTGGTCGTAGAGACTTGCGGTTTTTTCCATTCGATTCCAAATTTTATGGGAAAATTGGGAAAAATACCAAAAGTCGAAAATTCCTTACCGTTTCCGAGAAAACCTACTTTATCTACAAAAAAGGGGAACAAATTTCTCACCGTTTCCGAGCAAACCTACTCAATCTTCAAAAAAGGGGACTGACCGACTAGAAATTTTTATTCGCCCCATCGGTAGGTCTGGTCGAGACATTTCCGAATCTGTGCCGCAATCCGGTCTCCGTCACTGGCAACATCCTCAAACAAGCTAGGGCCCGCCCTTCCGTCGAACCGAGTTGCCAGCTCCGCTTCGCTGCGCCGGCAACTCGGTTCGACAGGGGGCCGGCCCAGCTTGGCCTGCCGGCGGCCTTTTCTCGGGCCTTCGGCCCTCGCATCAGACCCAACGTGGCCAGTCGAAGGCCCGGGCCTTCGGCCCGCTCGCATCACACGCCCCGTGAGCGGGTAAAGCAAAGTTATCGATGTACCATCGTGACTTAGGCCCGCCCTTCTATTCACAATATGCATAGTCCTTACACTTTTTACTCCAACTGTCCTTAGAATATGCCCATTTCGTTTGTCTCTTCGCCCTCATTCCGAAAATACCCATATTTGCCATGCTACTGCAACTCCTTGCAATAGAGGCACAGCAGGAGCGCAAAACGAGTCCGTCGCACTTTTTCCCATAACTCATGAAGGCAGGCTCCTGGACCCCCCTTCCGACCCCTCGTTGAAGAGGTCTTGCCAAGACCTATCCAAAACTTAAGTAAAAATTTTCAGTCGGTCGACCCCCTTTTTTCAAGATCCTGATGTGACTCATAGACGAAGTCGGGCTCCTGAACCTCCTTTCCGACCCCTCGTTGAAAAGGTCTTGCTGAGACCAATCGAAATCTGCAATAATTTTTTTTAGTCGGTCGACCCCCTTTTTTGAAGATCCTGATCTGGCCAACTTGTAAAAGCGCCCGATGGGGTCGGGACCAGGTCCATTCATCTTGTCTCGTCGCCCCGATTCCAAAAATACCCCTATGTGCCCTGCTAGCACCAATAATGGCGGAAATCCCCCTCCCGCTCATGTAAACCATGATGCACCTGCAGCAGCCCTTGTGCGACCCGGACGGGATTTGCACCACCGGATTATTTGTTTGGACGGTACTCCTGCCGCAGCCGTTTCCCATATCGCAGCCGCCCCCCCCCCCCAAAGGTTGTCGTTTTGGTCGGCGTCTTTTCAGCTCGCAAGCGACGCAGCGCTGCTCGTCTCTGAGTCGATACTGCCGCGGTTGGTGAGGTCAAGGCGGGCCGGCGGCCGCCGCCGCCGGTCGACCGGCCACCGTCACCCTCCTTCCTGCGCGGCGGAGCGCGCCGGGCCGGGCCGGCCCATCAGGGCGGTCCGCTGAAGGGCGCCTGCACGTGTGCCCCAGCCTGCTGTCAGCGCCCACCAACCCCAACATCTGCTGAGTCTCCGCTAGGCCTGGGCGATTAATCGATTAATCGAAAAAAAATCGCGATTATTTTGTTAATCGGCCGATTATTTCAAACCCCCGATTAGTGGTTCGGTAATCGAAGTATTGACCGATTATTTAACGATGATCGATTGTCGATTAATCGTCTCTTTATCGGATATATTCTATCCATCTCCTGCTCAAATTCTGAGCGGAAACGTCTTGAAAAGTTTTCAGTTAAGGCACAAAAGCTGTCACAGACACTCGAGGTTGCGCCAATGGTTTTCCTATCCTCTTATCACATGCTATTTTCACAATAGTACGAGTATTAACCTTTGTTTGTCAATTTCCAAATAATCGGTTTCTCCCGATTAATCGTTGATTTTCGATTAATCGTGTACGTTTCCGATTCCCGATTACCGAACTGCTAATCGACACCAATCGCGATTATTTTATTCATCGGCCGATTACGATTACAACCAATAATCGCCCAGGCCTAGTCTCCGCTGAGTCCCCGCACTTGTCGCACTACAGCGCCGTCGCCAGCCCGCCTACATCGCATCGTTTCGCGGAACGAGACCACCGCCCGGGCCCTCCCCCTACCTGCTACTCCGCCCGCCCCCGAGCGCGGCCGTCGTGCTCGCTCCCTTCAGCCCGTCCCTCACGTTCGCAGCGAAGGCAGCCGCTCCGGTCGGTGATTTTACAGCTTTCTGATGGCAACCCCTTCCGCTGCTTTGTGTCGACGCCGCCGAGGACACCTTTGCCTAGCCGGTTTGCCGTGGTCCATGCCTCCAGCCGGCGCGCCGCCCACAGCCCAGCCGCGCGGGGCCCAACGCACCGTCGGGTACGCACCCTTGCGTCCCCCTTCTCTTCGGCGTGGCCCTCGCGACCGCACCAGGCGCCTGCGTCCCTCAGCCAAATCTACACACTTGCCACTCCGGCATCGGCAAGTGTCCGTGTGTATCGGGCGCGATACGTGGGGTGTCGGCTGCTTCGCGGAAGAGGCCCTCCTGCTGCACGGGGCCACATGGGGATCGCCCCCCCCCCTTCCCCCCCGGTCGCTGCGTAGCTCTGCGTTGTGTTGGGTCCCGCCCCCGACCACGCCCCTCGGGGGGCTGACAACATGCGCGTGAAACCTGACCCCGCCCTGGTTCTGGTCCAGAGGCGCTGCCTCGACAGCGGGGAGTCATAAAATCGGCAGATTGACACGCCTCGCCGTGGGATATTAGTCAGCTGGTGCCATGGCCACCGCGAGGCCCGCCGGGAAGCCGCGAGGACGCCCAAGGAGCGGCGTGTGGACGCGGCCGAGGACACCATTGCGACCCTCCCCATCGCCAACTTGGAGCCACAGCAACGGACCGACGCCTGGACCGCCGTCACCACCGCCCTGCCGCCCTGAGCCGTCCTCCACGAGCAGCGGCGCGTCGCGGCAAAGGCGCGGATGCTGGACAACGCGCGCCGGCAAGAGGGACATCGTTTCCACCCTGCCTCCGCCAGCTACAGTCGCCTTCCCTCTCCCCCCTTCCCCCGGTTGGCAGTCGTATACTGTCGTCTCCTTTTTCAGCCTTTTCATTTCTTTCTAGCTCGCTCCCATGGGAGCGCATCACCTCGGCAACAAACTCTTGAGATGCGTGATGTCTGTGTTATGTACACGTGCCTAGCGCAGACTGACCCCATGCTCCCCAGTAGGGCAGCGGGCACT